TGCCAAAAATTTAAAACACGTGTCTTACCAATTAAAAAGAGTTTGGACAGATTCCTTTTCCTCCTCTAGATACTTTTCCTTGTAGCAAGCAAGGCCATTCAGAGGCATTCCACAGATAAAAGATCTGCCTCATAGCCACGGTTCCTCCATATTACACTTTGCTGGGTTGTTGGTTGTGCTTCATGTTATATTAGAACTTCATAAAAAACCATAGTCAAATCAAGGGCATAAATTTTTTTTTTTATTATGGTGACATTGGTTAATGAAATCCAGTAAGTTTCAGTTGTACAATTCAACGGTCAGGCATATATATATTGAATCGTATGTTCACCACCCATAGTTAGATTTCTTTCTGTCACCACATATTTGACCCCTTTCCCCATTCCCACCCTCTGGTAACCACTAGTCTATTGTCCATATCCATGAGTCTCTGTTTGTCCTGTTTGTTGCTTTTAGGTTTATAGCCTGCATATAATGATATCATGTGGTTTTCAACTTTTTCTACCTGACTTATTTCGCTTAGCATGATTATCTCAAGGTCCATCCATGTTGTCACAAATGGTAGTATTTCATCTCTCCTTATGGCTGAGTAATATTCCATTGTATATATGAACCACAGCTTCTTTAGCCAATCCTCTATCATAGGACACTTAGGTTGCTTCCATGTCCTGGCCCCTGTGAATAATGCTGCTATGAACATCGGTGTGCAAGTATCTTTTTGGATATGAGTTTTCAAGTCTTGGGGATAAATACCCAGTAGAGGGATTGCTAGATCATATGGTAGATCAATTCTTAGTTTTTTTGAGGAACCTCCATACTGTTTTCCATAGTGGCTGTACCAATTTGCAGTCCCACCAGCAGTGTATGAGAGTTCCTTTTTCTCTGCATCCTCTCCAACACTTGTTAATTATTACTTGTCCTGTTGATTATAGCTATTCTAACAGATATGAGGTGGTATCCCATTGTGGTTTTGATTTGCATTTTCCTAATATGATATTGAGCACCTTTTCATATGTTTGTTGGCCATTTGTATGTCTTCGTGGGAGAAATGTCTGTTCAGGTCCTCTGCCCATTTTTTAATTGGATTGTTTGTTTTTTGGTTGTTATTGAGTTGTATGAGTTCTTTGTATATTTTGGATATTAGGCCCTTATCAGACGCATTGTTTGCAAATATACTTTCCCATTTGGATGGTTGTCTCTTTATCTTGTTGACGATTTCTTTCGTTGTGCAGCTTTTTGGTTTGATGTATTCCCATTCATTTATTTTTGCTTTTACTTCCCTTGCCTTTGAGGTCAATAGATTTCTTTTTTAAGAAAATTGAGAAAGAGAGAGGGGGAGAGAGAGGTAGGGAGAGAGAGAGAGAAGAGAAGAAGGAGGAGGAGGATGTCAGTAGGAACCTATTCTAAGATGAATTAACATCATATTGCTTTAATAAATTACTACAGCAGAGAAATCATAATACCAAAACCCTTTCTATCAGTGACTGCAGAATACAAGCTGCAGTTAGCTTTTCAAACTGCTAAGATCCATAGGACATATAAAAACTCTCTTCCTTGTAGCCCAATAACACCTACTCCTCAAACAGCGTAAAATCATAATCCGAGCATTTGAATCATGAGGTGAGACAATTTAGTTTTTTCCACTTCTTCCGAGTACATTAATCCATGTCCTTCTAATATGTAAACTATGACTCAGTTTCTTCATCTTTAAAATAGGGATAATCATCATACCTGCTTTATAGGGTTGCTGAAGTGACTAAAAGAATTAATATATATAAAGCATTAGTGATGCCTGGCACTATAAAAATTATCATCTCAATTTCAATTTTTTACTCTATTTTTCCCTTACTACCACTATGTGGCCAGCATATAGGCTAGTTCAGAGGTCCCCAGCCCCCGGGCTGTGGACCTGTACCAGTCCGTGTCCTGTTAGGAACTGGGCTGCACAGCAGAGGTGAGTGGTGAGCAAGCGAGCGAAGCTTCTCCTGGATATGCAGCTGCTCCCCAGTGCTAGTTCACTGCCTCAGCTCCATCTCAGATCATCAGGCATTAGATTCTCAAAGGAGCACCTGTCCCTAGAGGCAAAAATATTGGAGACTGCTGGGCTAGATGACTCATTGATGGTACTTTAACTAGAAGCTCTTTTATGTATATTCTGAAAGTATTATGCTCAGATGATGCAGTCTTCCCATCATTTGCTCCCTAAATGGTCATACTGTGTTATTTGCTTACCCCATAAAAAGCAACACATGAACCATAACCCTTTAAAGAACTTAAAGGGCTTGGGTTTGTGTGGCCTAAGGATAGTCTATCCTTAGATGTATGGTTTGTGAGGCAGGATCTATAAGGCAGGGCTAGAGTGTTAAGACACAGTGATCTAACCCCAGTAAGAAAAGAACAAAGGCACCATTAAAAACTGACTGGAAATACAACTCAATTTTCAAAGCACTGCTCTTCGTGTTATTGGCACAGACCCACTTATGATAAAGGCTTTCATCTCCAGGCAAAGCTCTCACTGTGAAGGCAGAAACTTCATCTGTCATTCATCTTTATTCATACCTAACCCAGGATTTGAACTGAATCTACACTCAATATGTGTAGAATGAACTAATTAATCAATTACAGGATGAATGTTTAAAAAAAGCCTTTGAAGACTTCAAGGGAAAGTTTGTACTCCTGGTATTACAGGCCAGGGCTGAACTCCATCAGCTTTTTCTCAAACCAGTTTACTTAGAATCAGCATAGAAATCCACCAAGTGATCTTGGGATCCACTTCGACTGGAAAGGCATGGAAAATGCCCCAAGAGGCCTGTGAGCTTCCAGGACTAAGAAACTATCACTTCCCTCCTACATAACCAATTCTTGGAATGCGTGAACATAAGTACGTTTTGATCTCCAAAATGGAAAGTAGTACCAGTTCTGGATCCCATCCTTCCAACGTCCTTCCTTCCCTTTTGTGTTTCCTTTTCAAAGTCAGGGGAATGCTCTACATAATGAATGAAACCTTGATTTTCTTATTGGCCACTTCCAGCAATAACCTTGGCTTCACCTCTGTTTATACATAGTACCTTTCAAACTTCAGACATTATTAGTGAAAAACTTGAATTTTTTGCCTTCTCCCCTTTGATATCAACCTTTAGGAATATGGCAAAAGCTTCGTTCCACCCACCGCCCACCTTATGATGTATAGAGCTCTGTGGATCAGCACTGCTGCTCCAACTGTGCTCCTGGCACCTTGGACCCCCAGGGAATCCTATCCTAAAGGTCCTACAAGCAGCAGGAAGCAAATCCTTTGCTGAATTCTCAATGGATATGACTAAAGAGAAGACGGTAATGGCAGGGGTTGGGATAGAATAGACAGCTCAAAGGTTACTCAAGAATGTAAAGAACGTCTTGAACCAACGATGTTGGCCCTTCAAGAGAATGTATTACATACTTGTTTCAGGACTCTTGTTCTAGTTTTCATCTTCTTTAAGTGAGAAGGACATTTTTATACCATGTCACTTGTCATTTAATTCTGCAAAAGCTATCAATAGGGAATTGGTTAAATTATGGTACATCCCACACCAGATCCAGTCAGGCTCAGTAACCTGTTAGATGCTTTCATAGTACTGTTTTTTCACTTACATGGAATTATATTTTTATTTTTATAATAGTTTAATCTGTCTCCTCCACTAGATTATAAGCCTAATGAAGACAGGAACCATGAGGGAGGGTAGTCATTTGTTGTCTCCAGCCAGTGCTTAGCACCATACTTGGTATACAGTAAATGTTTAATATTTAAATGTATACTAAATACACATAATAGAGTACTATGCAGCCATTTAAATGTATAATATAGAATTATTTATTGACATCTAAAGTTACTCATTAAATTTTTTTAAAAACCCAAATTATAAAATAGTAGATATAATATAATCTCATTTTTATATAAAGAATAGCTATGTAGTATACAGATACATTGCTCAAAATGTTAATAGTGGTAGGATTATAGAAGATATTTTCTTTGCAACTCTCTGTATTATCTGAATTTAAAAAATAATAACATTCATTTGATCCATTATTTTCTAATTTAAACATTATTTCCATTATGAAAACAGAGGTATTAAAACAATTTCTTTTCCTATCATAAAACTTCACTTGAACATAGTTTTCAATTAGATAATATTTGAAACAATTGAATTTCTGAATGCAAATCAAAATATTGTATTCATTTTGATGCCATTTCTGATTGAAGTGGGCTTCTCACAAAATGATCATGATATCTTCATTTCTGTAATTACCCATTAAGCCCTTCTCTCTCTACTGGTTATAAAACTATAATTGGGCATTTTTATTATTTATGTATTTATTTATTTTTTAGGCGAGGCAACTCTTGGTTGACCTCACAGATTGCAAGGACCTTGTCGGCTTACAATCCTTTAGTTTTTACGCCTACGGCATCTGGTCTTCCTAGGTGGTCTCCCATCCAAGTACTAACCAGGCCCAACCCTGCTTAGCTTCCTAGATCAGAAGGGATCGGGCTTGTTAAGGGTAGCATGGCTGTAGATTAACTGAGCATTTTTAATATCCGCTTATAATTTTCCCTTGTAAAAGATGTTAATTTATATAAATAAGAAATTTACAGATGATGACCCCTACAGAGTAACATACTCCTGGGTATCTTAAACGCTAAGTATAATTGCACTTATTTTATATGGCATTAGCATTATTGTGGGGAATGGAAAGTATTTTTGTATATAAATTCCTTTTCCCGACTAAGGACAATTGAAAAATTTCGTTGAGAGTCAGTTTAAAATAAGAAGAAAAAAATAGGGCAAATATTATCTATGGCTACCTGTCTTTTAATTTTGTTGTTCTTGTCAGTTTCAATCTATTGACACAAAGACCTCAGCATCATATTAAGAAGTCACACTACGACCTATAAAATGTGACAGCCCCAGAGAACCAGTACAACATTATTCATTTTCAATAAAAAGTGTTAATAGAATAGTGATAACTATGTGCTTTAGAGTTTTAATCATACACTACAAATCAATTTATAATACAAATTGTAATGAACATGTACTGGCACAGCTAGGCTCTATATTTTCTTTGGAAGCTCAAAAAGTTCAAAGATGTCATCAATCTTCATTTCAGATCTAGTAGCATAAGTGCTGGGTTTTCTAAGTAGGATTTCCACAAATTCGAGAAGTGTGACATTGTAGCACCATCAATAATTCTGTGATCAGCTGACCAACTCACATTCATTATCTGTGCCTTATATACTTCTCCTTTCTGGTTAAATCGGGGAAGAGCCTAGATATAAGGAACAGAACAAAGAGTCAAACTTCACTTGCTCAAAGCATGAGCTCAAGCAACAGCAATGCTGAAGAATCAGGCAAATCCCCCTCCTTATAACAGAGAAGAAATGGCCATCCCAAATGACTTTTGAAAATGCTAACTCCTACTTTCCTCATCTTTGAGTGTGTGTCTCAATCTTTCCGGTTCTCCAAGGTATTTCCCATTCCCTGTACAATTTCCATATGTACAGTAAATTCATCTCATATTTCAATTATTTAACAAATGTTTATTGAACACCTGCTATATATCAGGTACTTTGCTAGACTGAGGACAAATCGGTAAACAGAACAAGTAATCCTTGCCCTCTTGGAGTTAACATTTTAATGGGGAGAGATGAACAATTAAGATAAGTAAAAGATATGAAAAGTGCAAAGGAAAATATAAAGCAGTTTGGAAAGAGAATAGAGTGTAGGCAGGGTGTGGAAGCAGAGGGGAGGTGGCATTTTTTTTGACAAGGTAGGTAGAGAGAGCCCACCAAGAAGGCTTTTATGTGGCCATATGGATACCCACAGAAAGAGACAGAGGAGAAGTGTGACTGGAGTGTTGGAAGACCAGCAAAGTAGGACCAGCTAAGGGCAGCTGCAGCGGAGAGGCGAGGGTAAGTGATGGAAGATGTCACATACGGAGCACGGTGGAGGTGGGGCACATTGTTAAGAACTGTAGTTCTCAATCTATCTTTGGAAAAAGACCTGTTTCTTGCCACCCCCACCCCAAATTTCTAAGCCCTTGTAGGCTAATTAAAAAAGAAATTTAAGGAACCCTCATACACTGTTGGTGGGACTGCAAATTGGTACAGCCGCTATGGAAAACAGTATGGAGGTTCCTCAAAAAACTAAGAATTAATCTACCATATGATCCAGCAATCCCTCTACTGGGTATTTACCCCTAAGACTTGAAAACTCATATCCGAAAAAATACTTGCACACCGATGTTCATAGCAGCATTATTTACGGTGGCCAGGACATGGAAGCTACCAAAGTGTCTTACAATAAAGGACTGGCTAAAGAAGCTGTGGAATATTATGGAATACTATTTAATGTATTATTCAGCCATACAACGGAATATTATTCAGCCATAAGAAGAATGAAATACTGCCATTTGCATCAACATAGATGGACCTCGAGATAATCATGCTAAGCAAAATAAGCCAGACTGAAAAAGTTGAAAACCTCATATCGCTTATATGTGGGCTATAAACCTAAAAGCAACAAACAAACAAGACAGACAGAGTCTCATGGACATGCACAATAGACTAGTGGTTACCAGAGGGTAGAGGGGAGTGGGGAGAGGGAAGGTAGATAAAATAAAAGGGGTCAAATATGTGGTGACAGAAAGAAATCTAACTATGGGAAATGAACACACAGTGTAAACATATATATGCCTTACTCTTAAAGTGTACAGTTGAAACTTATTGGATTTCGTTAACCAATGTTACCATAAATAAGAATAAATTAAGTGAAAAAAATTTTTAATTGTATATATGTGTATATAAAATGAATTACTAAAAATATGAAATAATATGAAGCTCAAAATTCAGGTTAATATAGTGACGACATTTAATAATGGTGAATGTCCTGAAATGATATCCAGGACGTTACTGTTTTAACTTTGGTGGTTTTTAACTCTGAGTTAACAGGGATGCCCAAGCCCCATCCCCTCAAATTCCAGTTCAGTTGGTATGGGGCGAGCTTGGACATTTTTTTCAGGAAACCCAGATGATTCTAATGTGTAGCCAGGGTTAACAATTCTTGCAGCCCTTATTCTAAGTCACTTTCACCTAAAACAGGGTAACAGATCACCTATGTTGAAACCACTTGGGTTTTTGTTTAAAAATGCAAGTCCTGGGGCTCTGTCTCCAAGGCCAAGAAGTCTACATTTTAATCTAGTACTCTCAATAGTTCTTGAACAGAGTAAAGTTTGAGAAAAAATTAATCTAAACAGTGTCTCACTTTGTTATAAATAATAATTTGGATTGCTGTACTAATATTCTCTGATATTCTGAAATAAAGATATTTTGATAGAAGCAGATTAGCTACATTTGTGATTCTCTATAAAGACTCACATAATGCACAATGGCTGATCCACACAGAGACAATCCAGATTACTACTATCTGCCAATCACAGAGGCAGCCACCAGAATTGTAGGCCTAGCATTTAGGAAGAACTATCTTACTGAGCCAAACATTGCACTAAGTGTCACAAAGCGAAGGGAAAACTTCAGAAATGGTTACTTTGTGTTTACTCTCCCGATTTGCTTAAACTCTTTTTCCAACAATTTAATAAACACACCTTAATTGATCCAAGAGCCCCAACTGCTACTTCTGGTGGCAATATCACTGGTTTGGTATAGGTACCACCAATCTAGAAAAAAAGAAAGAGTAGAAAAATGAAGGTTTCGAGGAACAAATGGCAAATGAAATTTCGTGTTTTTAATTGAGTGTATGATCAGAAATCTTAAGAGATGGTTTATAAATGTGAACATTACTATTACTCACTGATCCAATGTTGGAAAGAGTAAATGTTCCTCCTTTAAGATCGGTGGTGTTTAGCTGACCCGCGGAGCCCAATTTCTGGAGGCGGTTCAATTCAGTGGCGATCTCAAATATGGAACAGATCTGAACATTTTTCACATTGGGGACGATCAACCCCTGCTCAGTATCCATTGCTATCCCAATGTTATGAGAAGACTAAAAATAAATAAATAAATAAATAAATAAATACCCAATTTCTGGGCGGTTCAATTCAGTGGCGATCTCAAATATGGAACAGATCTGAACATTTTTCACATTGGGGACGATCAACCCCTGCTCAGTATCCATTGCTATCCCAATGTTATGAGAAGACTAAAAATAAATAAATAAAAA